AGATATTCTCTAAAGTAGGGATAACGATTACATCGGAGAGTAGTGGTTACTTAAGTAAAATATACGGGGTAACTAGGACAGTGCTTAGCACATTATAGGCACTCAACAGAATGCTGGCTATTGGACAAGGCTCTATTCTGAGCACTCAGAAATGGCCCTGGATGACCTCTGAGTCTGATAGCATAATACAGGCGTTGACAAAGGAGTTCTCTACTAAGAACAGACTAGTGAGGTCACAGATCTCTCCTGAAATAAGATCAGGGAATGCTCTGAAGGAGGCCCTACTTGTTTTGTTTTTGTTTGTTTTGTTTTTAGGTTTTTGCCATAGGGGACGTGCTTTCACCAGAGAAAGACAGTGAGAAGGATGGTGGGGGGGCAATGGCCATGCCACAATCCCTTCTCCTCCAGTCTCTTTTTGGAATTTTTGAGCATGCAGGCACACACACCCAGTGTGACTTTCAAGCCTTCCCGTCCAGGACTCTTACCGCTGTCGGCCATGTGGAAGTCCAGCGCCATAACCACTACAGCACCTGCTATGGTTCTAGTGGTTCTTTACTATCTTGTTTTGTTTTGTTTTCATAAGGTTTTTGCCATAGGGTATGTGCACTCACTGAAGAGAGACAGAGAGAGTCAGTGAGAGAGAAAGTGAGACATCACCCTTCAGGGAGGATGGCCACTCTACAATCCCTTCTTCATTCTCCTCTTGGGATTTTGAACATGAGCACACACCTACCTTGTGTGATTTTCAAGCCTCTGGGTCTGGGACTCGGATTGTGGTTGGCCATGTGGGAATCCAGCACCTTACCCACTATGCCACGTGCTAGCTCTGTCCCTAACTCTCTTAAGATGAAACAGAACGGAACAGCGATGACTGAAGCAAATTACTCATGTGTAATACCCTCTTCTCATGGGAGGAGAAACTCAGCCCAGAAACTTGTTGAGAAGAACGTTGTCATAAAGTGTCAAAGGGCATCCAAGGAGAAAGTAATGTATCTCAAATTTGAGAATTTTATGGTTTCTTCCATTTAAAATGGTATCAGTGCTATGAGCCTATAAAAAAGCCCATAACGCAAACTGACATTAACGTGTGATGAGGAATACCTTGCAGGGAATGCAAACCAGAACTTTCTTGGACTTTAAAAAAAAAAATCTAATCTTAGGTTACTAATTAAATATCTTAAAATAAAGATATTCCTTATTTTTTTTCTTTTTAAAATCTCTGTTTATTTTGGGCTGGTAGGTGGCATGGTGGTTAAAGATGCTGGACTCCCACATGGTTGAACACAGTTTAAGTCCCGGACCTGGCAACTTGCTTTCTCATTTCCCCTCTCTTCTCTCACTCTGTCCCTCTCTGGTCAAATTAAAGTAAACAAATAAAGTTAAAAAAATTATTTAAAAAAAAAACCCCTCTGTTTATTTTAATGTGAACGTATGGTGTGTCTGAATGTGTGTATGTAAAATCACATTTAAGTAAAAAGCAGGATTTTTGAAAACAGAGCAGTAGCACCAAGTAGAACCAAAGGACTTCTGCTGGGCTGAAATGCCGACGCCCCGAAGTGCTGCAGTAACACAGGAGGGCATAAACCCACACGCTGACTGCTCTTGCGAAAGCCATCCCAAAGGTGCTTGTGGTTTTAAATCTCCACTTGAAAAATTCAGCCACTTTGGCTGAGCTGATAAACTTCACATTAAAGTAGATTCTAAAATGTAGGATGTTTTTCTAAATAATTAAGCTGCTTGTAAAATAATTTAAAGATATGCGATGTTAACTGAGTTCTGGCCTTCTTCTGCTTCCAGAGTGGACTTGAGGAAACAGAGACCTGGTTATGGTATTCAAAAAATCTCTAGTCATTTCAAACCAATGCGCTATCCTGGCACGTAAGACCGCTGCCACCTTCTCACTGGCCCCACCTTCTCCTGACTGCTCTGTGGTACCCGTCTCTGCACCTCTGCTCACTCCATCTCTTTTGAGAGTGCCCCTTCCACTGTGTGTCTTTGAAAACTTCATCCCTTCTTGACACAGCTCAAATGCTACCTCCTCCCAGGGCAACTGCAGTCCCCACCTCCACCCTGCTTTCATCCTAACTTCACTCCTCACGCACTTGCTGCTTCATGGAACTTCGTGTCATTCCTGGAGCAGTCGACGCACTTTTCCTTAAACTAGCAAATATTTGGGAAGCAACAGTGAGCAGCACTGAAGGGAAAAGAACATACTTTTGAGCCAGTCAGCCTGAGCTAAAACCACGGTTGTTGGGCAAGACACTGGATTTTCCTGAATTTCAGCTACTTCATCTGTGAATGATGAAAATAGTTCCAAATTTGCATGGGTTGGTAGGAGAGCATTTATGAGAACATGCAGGTAAATATCCCCAATAAAAGGCAGTTGTTAATGCTACCATTATTCAGATAATTTTCCCTACTAGTTCCTTCACAGTACTTTGCAGGATCTTACCCTCCATAGCATTTTCTGAATTGAATGGAAACAGCTGAAAATTGATGGCATCTGTTGCCTGGATTTTACAAAGCTATTAGTTTTTCAACATCTGTTTTGAATTTCAGAGAGAAATTTCCATTTTAGGCTACAGCAGCATTTTCCTGTGTCATTTCAATGTGTCTCAATTCTGAAATGATGATAACTTCTGCTCAATTGACTCCAAGTCAGCAAAGACAGGAGCCCCGCCCAGCCATGAGTGCCTCTGTGCCGCCTAAGCTTTAGGGAGCACAGCCCTCGGTACAACAGCCCCAGGAACACTGTGATCTTGTGATGACACTGCCCTTTGCTCAGATGCTTACAGAGCAGCAATAAGGGAGCCCAGAAGGCTCTTAATTATGCACAATGTTGCAAGACAGGGAGAACACAGGTCGTAGAAACCTTGTTTCCATTGAAGTCTAAGAGTGCTGATAATGATACAGGGTGTGCTTATAGCGTGTTTCTAATCACAATTATTGAATTCCTTTTCTGGACTCCCAATTTCCATATATAATACTACAAAAGAAGCAGCCAGTTTTATTCTCAGGAGTTTGCGAATTATTTCCTATGGAAAGCAGCGTTTTCTAAGCCACCATGCTTCGTGAAGCCTCTGAGTCTTTTCCTCTTTCTAATATAAATGTAACACACAGGGAATGTCAGAGGAAAGCATGGGGCCGGGGTGTGGAGAAGGCTCAAGTTCCAAAGGAAAATATTCTGGTTCTTGGAAATATGCTACGACAGGGATCTAGCAGATGGTGTAATAGTTACATTGCTGGACTTCCATGGCTGCAGTTCAAGTTCCAGACCTGGTGGCTTAACGCTCACACCGGGCACGAATGCATGTGTGCCTAAAATCCCGAGAGGAGAATGAAGGAAAAGAGATTGCAGTGTGGCCATTTCCCCTGGGAAGGGGGTGATTTCTTGCTTTCTGTCTCTCTATCTCTCTCTGTCTCTCTGGGGAGCACACACACCCTATAGCAAAAATATCTCTCTATTAAAAAAAGAAAAGAAATATGCTAGAACTATCTAGGAACAGAACCAGTCATACTAATTATGAGACATAATAGAGATCATATTTTTGCTTCATTATGAATAACTCAATTATCCCCATCCACATAGAAAATAAAAATTAAGAAAAAGGGATAGGAGTAGTCTTTTCCTCTTTCTAATATAAATGTAACACACAGGGAATGTCAGAGGAAAGCATGGGGCCGGGGTGTGGAGAAGGCTCAAGTTCCAAAGGAAAATATTCTGGTTCTTGGAAATATGCTACGACAGGGATCTAGCAGATGGTGTAATAGTTACATTGCTGGACTTCCATGGCTGCAGTTCAAGTTCCAGACCTGGTGGCTTAACGCTCACACCGGGCACGAATGCATGTGTGCCTAAAATCCCGAGAGGAGAATGAAGGAAAAGAGATTGCAGTGTGGCCATCCCCCCCGGGGGGTGATTTCTCACTTTCTGTCTCTCTATCTCTCTCTGTCTCTCTGGGGAGCACACACACCCTATAGCAAAAATATCTCTCTATTAAAAAAAGAAAAGAAATATGCTAGAACTATCTAGGAACAGAACCAGTCATACTAATTATGAGACATAATAGAGATCATATTTTTGCTTCATTATGAATAACTCAATTATCCCCATCCACATAGAAAATAAAAATTAAGAAAAAGGGATAGGAGTTGTCAGAATCCCAGAATTTTATAAAAGAAACCAGCTCGCCTTAGAGTACAATAGTATTTCAGCACCGAGGACAGATCCCTACAGGGCTTAATGCCCACCCATCTTACATAATTAGCACATTTAGGGGGAAAAATGTCTTAAATTTCCCTCTCCACTGTTTATGCACATCTACATATTACTTTTATGAGCGCTAGTTAGGTGTCAGACCTTGGTCAAATATTCAAGAACTCAGCCAGTTACAGATCTCAAGGCAAAACTAGGAGAGAAGATGAGCAGACAGACAAGTTAGTAAGTAATTATAATGCTTATATGGCAAGTGGGAATACAGAATCATAATTCGTGTGGAAGCCAGGGGAGAGGAAGAGAAACTGTGCTGCAAGAAAGACTGACAATGGCGTCAACATTTGAGCTGGAGATGGAAGACAGAGTGAAATTTGCCAGACAAAAAATGTCATGCAAGAGTATATAGTGTGTTCAAGGATTTTTGGAAATGTGATTTGATGTGACTGAAGGCGGGTTGAGTGGAACATTAAGGAATAGGAAGATCAGATCAGCAAGGGTTTGTGTCCCAAAATAAGGAGGTCAAGCTTTCTCTTGGGAAAACGGAAAGCCGTTGAAGAGTTTCGAGCTGGCCATGCTCTGACCAGATTTGTGTTAATATTTTAGAAGTATCGTTCAGGCATCAGGAGAGAGGATAGAAACAGAAGTGAGAGAGAAGGGCAGCTAAGGGGACATTTCTCCATACGGTCCCGGGAATGGGGAGTGACTACCATAACCATGGTTCAACAAGGGAAGTTTATTCGGCCCAACCATCATCTGCGTTTCCCATGTTATTGTGTCCCTCCAGATTCCTCCAAGAAGATAAAGGATGTCTTGGCTGAGTTTAATCAGGGTGGGAGCCTCAAACAATATGACCCACAGGAGGTAAGAGCCTTCCCCTGACAAGCTTTAAAACTCCCGTGTTCCAGCCTCTCCTTAATCGTTCTCCTTTGGGCCTAGCTGGCCTTGTGGACTTGCTACTCAGTGTATTTTCTCCTAAGTCTCAAATGGGCCATTAGTGCTATATCTCCCCAGTCCGTCCCCTGCCACTGCTGCCTCCCGCTGGCCTCCAGACTGCATGGTGCCTTGTCTGCTCAGACCCCTCATTTATCCTTCTCTCTGCGTTCTCAACTATCAACTGTGTTCTCTACTGCACTAAAAAAATAGGAACAACCAGAGAAGGTCTTCGCAAGCTCCCTCACCCCTCGTGCACACCTGCCTGCGCCTTTCCTCCTATACCTGGGGTTGAGCTCTCCAAGCCTCTGTCCAAGTGCAGCTCTTGCACGGGTGCCTTGGTCTCGTCCGCTTCTGGCCCATGGACAGCCGCTGCTTCAGCAGCACAACTCCCCCACCCCCTTCTCCCGCATCCCTTCTTCCTTTCCTACTCTCTGTCTCTACCTCTGTCTCCTCCACATCATCTCTTCTTTATATAGTAGATTTTTGCCCCATAAACATGAAACATTCTGTTAACTCTCTTATATTAAAAACATTCGCCAGACCCCTTTACAGAGAAACTGTGCAAATGATTTGTCTATACTTATTGCCTCCAAGTGCTCTGCTTCTGCCTTTATTTTTTTTTAAAGAGAGATGTTTTTGCTATAGGATGTGTGCACTCGCTGGAGAAAGAGACAGAGACAAAAAGAGAGAAATCACCCCCTAGAGGGGAACGGCCATGGCACAATCCTTTCTCCTCCATTCTCCTCCCAGGATTGTGAATGTACATGCACACGCACCCAGCATGAGTTTGAAGCCACCGGGCCTGGGATTTGAACTGTAGTCGGCCATGTAGAGTCCAAGGATGTGACCATTACACCATTTGGTGGTCTCTTCCTGCTTTCTTTTTTTGTTTTGTTTTCTTTTGTTTTTTGCTTTGTTTTGGTTTTGGAGAGGTTTTTGCTATAGGGCACGTGTTCTTGCCAGACAGAGAGACAGGAATCGAAAAATCACCCCCTGGGGGGATGGCCATGCTGCAATCCCTTTTCCTCCATTCTCCTCTCAGGATCTTGGGCATGCACGCACACGCGCCTGGCGTGAGTTTTAAGCCACTGGGTCCAGGACACAAACCACAGTCGACTACATGGGAGTCCAGTGACATAACCATTATGCTAACTGCTGGTCCCCCCATCCTGCTTTCTTAAAAGCCCTTCAATCAGTGTGTGACACCCACTCCTCCATTAAAGCAGTAGCCAAGAAAAACAAGGATTTCCATGTGGCTAAACTCCACGGCCGTTTTACTCAACACTGCACACTCTTGGTTTTCCTCTTGCCCCTCTACTTAACATCTCCTGATGCTCAAAATAAAATTAGGCTCTCGGGACCAGCAGTTAGCGTAATGGCTATGTTGCTGGACTCCCACGTAGTTGACCACGGTTTGAGTCCCGGACCCGGTGGCTTAACCTCACGCCGGGCGCGTGTGCGTGTGTGCCCAAGATCCCAAGAGGAGAGTGGAGGAGAAGGGATTGCGGCGTGGCCATCCCCCATGGGGGGTGATTTCTCGCTTTCTGTCTCTGTGTCTCTCTCTGTCTGTCTGGCAAGCGCACACGCACTATAGCAAAAACCTCTCCAAAGAAAGAAAGAAAAATAAATAAAATAAAATTAGGCTCTCAAACTCAACATGAGCTAACACAATGCCCTTGAATTTCCCCCATGGAGCCTGCTCTTCCAGCAGTCGTTCCCATTTCAACGAATGGTGACTCCACTCTTCGGTTTATTCAGCCTAGAGCTGGAGCCACCACTGGCTTTTTGCTTTCTCACATCCCACGTCCAGTTCATCACCAAAGTCCACCACATCTACCTTCAAAATATAAGCAAAACCTAGCCGCCTCGCACCACCTGCACCACCATCGTACTCTGAGCCATCACCCGATTTTCCCCAAATTATTGTGAGTCTTCTACGTGGACTCCTTGCTTCTGCGCTTGCCCTTTAAAGTCTATTCCTCACACACATCCGAGCAATCTGTTAAATCTTATGTTGGAGCTTGTCACTGCCCTGCTCAGCAATCTCACGTGGTCTCCCCAACCCTGCCCCGAGGGCAAGTCAAGGTCATTGGAATCTGCACCTCTCCTCACTCTCTGAACTCCATTCCTGCACTGAACTCCATGCCTGCTGCCCTCCACCTCCTTGTGCCTTCCCAGCCCCCTGGATGCTGTCAGATCAGCTGCTGGTGTTGTAACCTCCCGCCCCTGCACCTGCCCATTCCCTCACCTCCGCCAAGTCGACACTCACATCGCCTTCTCAGGGACGTCGCCTTCTTTAAGCCCTCTTCGCCAAAATTTCCTATCCTCCAGCTCTGTTTTATTTCCTCCTTAGTAACTATCTGCCACACTGTATCATTTACCTAATTTTCTGTCTCTTCCTCTCTATCATTTTTCTTCACTGCTGTGTCTCCCATACCCAGAGGAGTATTTGGCCCATAGCCAGAAAGTATTCAATAAATATTCGTTGAATGAATAAATGAATGAATGCCAAGACTTCCCTCCACTTTCAAAGCCAACTCATGTGCTATTTCTCGAGCATCCAGGCACTGTGCTGGGCACGGTGGAAGGTGGACAGACAAAGAAGCACAGTCCCTGGCCCCCAGAACTCACTTCCTACTGCAGAGTCCGGCTCAAGAGCCATGACCTGGAGCCATCTGGCCTTACGTTGGGTTTCTACCTCAACCTCTGACCTGGAGCCATCTGGCCTTACGTTGGGTTTCTACCTCAACCTCTGACCTGGAGCCATCTGGCCTTACGTTGGGTTTCTACCTCAACCTCTGCCGTCAACCAGCAGCGCGGCTTTGAATAATAATAGTTCTCCTCTTTGGTCCTAACTTTTTCATTTGTGAGTTGAAGATAACGAAAGAAAAGTGAAAACCCTGAAGTTTGTGTCTGGGTGAATCAAGTGCAAGAAGTTTTGCAGTGTCTAACACATTGGGGCACTTGGGAAATGGTACCCATCGTTTCTCCTCTTCATTATTACTCCAGGGCCCTTTTAGGAGAGCTCATTGCAGGAAGTGACTGATCAGCAGGACTAATTTGGGGAAAGTGGCCTTTCTTATTCACATTGCTGGCCATTCAGCAAGCCTGAGTCAGTGCCTTCTCTGCTGGGCTCTGGGCATGAATCAACAGAGCCCATCCCCTCAAGGTGCACCGAGAGGAGCTCTGGACAAAATGCACCAGTCCCTGGGAGAAGGAAGTGAGAAGGAGGCTGCAGAAGACCAGTTACAAGGAATATTCCTGAGGAGACGCCTGCAGAGAAGCTGGCAAGCCAGCAAAGAATTCACTGCTCCACACTCCCCACCTTCAGCTCCAAAACACACGTGAACAAAGCTTGGCAGGGCTGCTAATCAGCTGGGCCGCCCTGGGCCTGTGAGTGGGAGGGGAACAATCTGGTCAGGGGCCTCAGGGCCCGGAGAGCACAGGAGCTTTCCCCAGCAGGGAGTGGCTTGGCTGTTTCAGAGCACAGCCGTCCTGCCTCCAGGCTGGCCCGCTCTGCCCTTGCACTGCTGTGTCCCAGGGGAGTGCTGTCATTCTGACTTTATTCCTCACAGTGCTGCTGACTTCCAGTAGGTGTCATGTCATGGCATGGGGTTGAGGAAACAAGGGTTTAATTTCTCTTGAGCTTGACGGCTGACTGCTGCTAAAATGTCTGGAGAAATGCGTTAGCTGGGGGAAGGGGCAGGTTGCTAGGGAAGCTAGGACGAGAACGCAAGTTGGCAGCAGCCTTGCCCCAGTATTTCTGATTCTCCAGAGAACAGAGCACGGCAAGACAGAGTCGGTAAGACCCAGTGGGGCAGAAAGAGCAGGTGGCAGGTGGCACCACGAGCCTGCCGTCGGAAACACCTGAGCACAGACCCCAGCTTTGCCGCATACCTTCTGACCTTGAGCACGTTACTTATGTTGTCCAAAAAGGACAGCAACCGTCACACTGTTGTCTTGAGAATTAAAGTGCCCGATAAACTCCCCATCCCGTTCTCCCTTCTGGACCTGCATAAGCATGAATGCTCTCTCTTTAAACAGAGTGCAGCACCAGCAATCGCCCACCTCGTTCCTGCATGGAAGTTGCAGCTGCTGGAGGAAAACAGGGCTCCTTGAGCCTGCACGGTGAGCACGCCCAGGGTGTTGCTCCAGAGCTCAGAGAATTGCCAGTGTGCCTCCTCGTGGCTGGTTGTCTGGATCAGGCGTTCGGGCATAATAGCTAGCCACTCTGCCCAATTACCCGTTATGCCTTCGCCAAGCAGCTGCTTGCTCCCAACCTCTGCTCCTGAAGAACTCGCTCTTGCATAACCCAGATAGCATGTGGCGATGGCACACGGTCACGTTTCTTGGCTTGAAGGGTGTGGCGGGAGACACTGAGCCCACTCTGAGTCCTGTGACAGATCCTGCAGCAGGACCCCCGGACAGGAAGTAGAGGGTCTGGCTTATGGTTCTGCTCTGCTGATAGCTGGCTGGGGCAGATCCCTGGCTCTCCTGCACCTCGATGCCATGAGGAGACCCAGGACTCAGTGCCTTCTGAGGCTCTTCTGGTTTGAATACTCTGTGTTTCTGAGTTTATTCTTTATCACCCTGTTCCCTGGAATAGGGACATGCATCATCGTTTTCTGTTTGTTTTTTTTTTTTCTTTATTTTTCTTTTTAGAGAGTTTTACTAGATAATATATGTACTTATCTGCCAGGGTCCAGCCTCGGCTTGGGTGGGTTATCTCAACGAAGGCGGCGACGGTGAACAGAAGACAGAGGCCTCGATGCCTTTTCATGCATGTCCTATGCCGAACACCCCTCAAAGATCGCTCTCTGAGGGGTGACAACTGCTAGGAATTATCGTGCCTTTTTATTGAAAATGTGTTACAAGTAAATGGGAGAGGGGCTAGTGTTTCAATTAACAGCTCATAAAGTTTTTAACAATAAAGAACATAGATTCTATTCAGGGTTTGATTAAGGGTGGGTCTAGTGCAGTTACTATTCAGGGGTGGATTCAGGGTGGATTAAGGGTGGATTAAGGGTGGGTCTAGTGCAGTTCCTCAATTGTAGGTGGGTCTCCATGGAATGCAGTTTCGGGAAAGCGGTTCCGGAAAGCAGAGATGATTATCAGCTGATGCGGCGTAGCAGCCATCTTGTGATTACTGGGAATGGTGCTGAGAAAAGAAAATCTCAAGAATAGATATTAGTTCTTATGGATCTTAATAAAGAATGATACTTATACAGTTTTGTAGGGATCTATAACTTAATTTGATGAATCCTAATATATTTATTTATTTCACTTGGAGAGAGCGGGAGGTGTCCTGGGTTGGCCTAATCCTATTTTACATAAAGAAAGGATTAAGTTTACTTTAAATGTATTTTGAAGGGCCTTCCAAAGGTCAAGATTACTTCTGCCTAGAAAGAACTTCAGCCCACCCTCTATTGTGACCATGGAGATAAAGCA